TCGGCGGGTATTTCGAAGTCAACTATAGCGCGAATTTCCTGGTAAACCTCACAGACTCGAGGCCCCCGCCAGATCTGTCTCCGCCATTGTGCTCAAGTTGCCTTCGGAAGGCGTTCGGGTTTACGTTCGGGTCTCTTGCGGATGTGTGGTGCACGATACCGAAGACAGTAGTGAGTCGTGGTTCGTCGGATGGGGGGTGATCCTCGTGCGTCTACACGATGTAACCCAAAGTGAGATATCTCGCCTTCCCTTTTCGGAGATGGGCCGTGCTGCGTGGCAGTCGGCGATCGGAGGGGTATGTAGAGCTCTGGGGTATTGGGGGCTTTTTGGAGCTCAAATGGACCCAGGAAACGATGGTGAGGGCTAGACGTCGAATGGCGACTGATTCGTGATGGCTGCCGAGGATGACTGAAGCGATGCGATGGCACTCAAAGATGTGGGATGGAGGTATGCTGTCGGAGTCAGGACGCGGGGACAGTTACATAGAGACATCGGTCTGTTGGTGTCAGGCGCCAGAGGTAAGGCGGTGGACAGCGACTGAAAGCTACACTCCGTAGGATCGAGGTCCGCTGCCGGAGGGATGTATTTCGTAATGATGTGACGCAAAGGGACCCAGATAAGAATGCCTGCTCGTCAGTCAGCTTTCTTGATTGTTGCTCATGTGCAGTTCAGCTTGCGATGATGATAGGTCGTCTGCAAGAGCTGTAAAATGTGCAAATGCGCGCAAAACAAGCAAGCCCTGGCGAAATTTGTTCAGGTGGTTAGAAAAGACGAACGGTCAAGCTCATGTGGAAGAGAGAAAGGGGAAGCAGGCTGGTAGATCCCTGATGGAGCACTCACGCAATGGGGGCCGCAGCTACCTGCCCCTCACCACCAAAGAGCTTCCCAGCACCATCCTTCTTTCTTACCCCGCTGCCAATCACGATAAGGCGACTGGGCCACAGGAGATCTCGGCAGCTGCTGGTCTGTGCTGGAAAGCGATCAGGCCCAGGCCTGCTTCTCAGGTATGTGTCGCTGATGCCATTCGATGTTGTGTTGTTCTGCTGAGTGCCTCTGAATGCTCAGTGGACGCCATCAGCGCCCGAACCCTGGTTCCTGAGCAAGATCCTTGCTAACGTCTGTACGCTGTACGCCGTCAGCAGCCACTTTCATTGTGTTGGAATAGGGTTGCCGAGACATGTTTAACTGCTATTTCTTTGGATCAGTCTTGTGACCATATTGACCCAATTCCTCGGGATAGAAATAACTTGCGCCACAACATCATCCTCCGAGCCGCCGATCTCACGCGCCGAACACCAGGATTGAGCCACGATCCACGAAGCACATGTGAATCGTGAAAAGAACCAGGGATGAGATAATGAACCCGGTCGATTGCCTTACCTCGGGGCCCGCTGTTCGCCTTTTTTCCGTCGGCAAGTGGGGGCGCGGGATGCGAGCGGAGCACTTTGTGGTCTGAGCTTCGCGATAACGTGATAAGATAGTGGGACAGGCCGCTTTAGCGATGCTGACTACAGCTCAAATAGCCACTCAGAGGTAAGCGGGCCTCCGGTAGCCAATCCGGATGAGCTTCACTTTCAGCAGCTTCATTTCATGGTGTTGTTCTCCTCATTTCCGGCTTGCCAACATCCACCAATGTAACGTCTGCAGAGCTCCAAGCTTAAGCTTACTTTCTTGCTTGGGTTGGCTTTTGCTTTTATCCTTCCAGAAACGTGCTACGCTGCGTACTGAGAGTGGCACGAAGTGGAAGAATAGATGCAAGCCACGTTTGGCCACGAACGACGAGTGACATACCGTACAGCTCGGCCAATTCTTGATATATCCCTGCTTCTATCGGAGCTATTCCTTGAGCGGCTGCTAAGGCCCGCGCCGCTTCCGAGATTCTGCTTGGCGTGGGGTGCGTTGTGAATTATCAGGTCTAATTGCTGTAGAGACAATGCCTTTATGCAAATAATGTTTTGTCACTGATTTCGCCCTGTAAGCATTGCGCGAAAATGAACTCCAGTTGAGAGCTGAACAAAACATAGCCATCGTCTTTATGATCGACACGCAGTGTTCCAATAGTTTAAGCAGTAACAACGGTACCCTTACCGGAACAGTCGAGTTGCACAAGCTGTAATTCAGGTGCGCCGACCGTCTGCAACTGCATCCGATCTTTGATAGGTCCCGAACGTTGGGCCTTGCTCTTGCCTAACCCGCCGTCCTCTTTTCAGGCCGCCCCGCGATGTCCTCACTCGCTCAAAGAGGGAGGTGCTCATCAAGGTGAGGCTCTAATACGCACCTATACTATGCATAGTGTGGTGGCATCGACGCAGAAGGAGCGTTTCTGGAAGGTCGCACTTCCATTCTCTCGGCGCCGATGACGCTTTCCCCTACAGCAATGGTGGCATGTGGTACTTTTGCTTCAAGCCGTCCACAAGGTCTAGCCTCACGACATGGACCTGCCATGAGCAGTTACCACCCCTGAATCACCCCTCGAGGAACTTCCGGCATTCGTGGATTTCAAAAGGCTTGGCTTTCCTGCTCTCCAGGATTCTTCAGCGCTCCCGCGAAGCGCCGCTGCAAGATCCTCCTCGCCAAGACCAAGCCACTGGAAACACCAAGCTTTCACCTTCCCTTCGCGATGATCCCTTCCCGAGTTTGCCGCTGCCCAACGATCCTTGGCAGTACCGAACAACCATCGAGACCAGCTTCCAGCTCTCTGAGATCCTCATTGCACCTCTACGGCCTCATTACGGATATTGTCACTTCATCGTCACACGATCCGGACACGCCGTGGCATCATCGATCTCGTTCTCGGACCTTTCAACTATTCCGATATTTGTTACCTGCTCAGAGACACAATCCCTCACGATCTAGACAAATGTTCCAGATCTTCGCAGCTGAGTCAAAGTGACAGCGGCCTTCGGAGGCAGATCCGGCTGCCTCCGAACCCGCTCTTGTGCGTCCAGTCTGTCTACGCCCCTCCCGTACCACGTCGCAATTAAGCCACGCCGGAGGCGCCCCGTTGACGCAAGCCTCGGCACCTGCCTATTCAAGCCAGCTTCCGACGCGTCACTGGCGTTTATTTGTCTTGCAGTGAGGTGGCTCATCGTCAGCGTCACTTCACGATGCATCACGAAGCACAATGCAAAAGAACCCTCGTTATTCGCAATATCCGTGGAATCATTGATTGCAGACTCCCTGGCTTTCCCAACTCTCAAATTCCGTACGTTACGACGTTCTCAATTCCTTCATTGATCGTGCCATCACGACTTCTCAGGCACTACTGATCTCGTTCCCTGCGTCTCCGTCTTCTTTGCCTCTCGTCACCATCACCTCCTCTTACTGGGTTGTTCCGCTGCCTTACACATACCCGACAGACCCCCTCTGTGCTCGAAACTCCGTTCTGCCATACCCGAGGCGTGTTGTTTCTGGCGCACGGTTGATTTGTTCTTTGTCCAAAGTCGCACCGATCCAGCCGCCAGAAGGCGTCGAGATGGCCGCATTGAAAACTTCCTGTGCCAGCGATGAGTCGACACATCGCGGTCTAGCAGTTCGACACAAGTTTGGAGCTCTGTCAAGTTATGACTATGGAATGCTCCCGCTACAAGGATGATAGCGCAATGATGTGGGGCTATGCTGAACATCATTTCGCAGTAGCTCATCCAAGATATCAAGAGTGATGTAGTGGGGGCGTGGACTTTAAAGCCACGATTTTTCCACCGAGTACCTCATGCAGATCCGTGTGAGTGATTCACGAGCATATTTTCAATTCTACAGTCACTGTGTCTAGCGTCACAATATCCCGAGCCACGAGAAGAAAGGCAGAGGTAAGCGAATTCTGCTGGTACTTCAAATTGTAAATCGATCATTATGATGAAGATTTTATCGTTCACAGCAATACATGTGACAGCCCCAGTCACCACATCTTCCAATTATAACCGAAAACCTGTTGGAGGACAACAGCGTACAGCCTGAAATACGCCGTATTCACGTTGACTGTTTTTACAAGTTAAAGGCCTTTACCCAGATGAAAAGAGATTCGTAAGGAACACCTTCAGGTGCGTGATTTGGACGCCACAAGTCAACTACTAGCTTACAACAAGAGAAAACACCACGAAAATTGGAGTGTTTTCACACGCCATTCTCTATCGAAGCAACGGCGATACAATATGACCCTCTTGCCTATTAATCTTTTCTTTTGTGGTCCTCGATTCCTTCCTAACTACTTTATTCAATACACGGGCTTTGTGCGCCAAATTCCAAGCAAGGGCGGATGGCCAGGCCCGACATTCCGTGTCGACCGGCCTCGCCCGGCCCCACAGTTTGTCCCGGTCATGCCGCAAATGAAACGACCCATCCCATTTGAGCATCGAATGGCCTTTTGAGCGTGGTGAAGATACTGCTTGTAGCTACAATCCACTGTATAATACCAAGTCGTCAGGTAAAATGACTCCTGTCTGGTGAAAGTTAGACCAAGGCACGGACTTCGGTACTGCATCTGGTAGCGCGACAAGCAATGTGACTCAAAACTTTGAATGCCTGCTAACAGAGAAGGCAAATCGCAGGACAGTTAAGGTTCTGAGTTAAATTTGACTTCGCCGTCGAGCAGAAGGCAATCGGCCCAACACCTTTTGGGTTTCACCATGCTGGGCGCTGCGAGACGATCGCGAGATTGCCGTTTCCCAATGACACCACGTCAGTCACAAGGCAAGATAAGAGTCTACTGGACAAAAAGCCTTCACCTTTATCTCGCAATGTCATTTGTCCTCGATGCTGTGGTGTGCCTCCCGCATTATCGCCCTCAGATCCAGTGACATTATCATCCGCCAGATCACGGCTGGATCTCGGGGATGGAGGACGTCGCGAAGGCGCAGGCCCTCCTCTGTCCCCCATTCTCAGCCTCCGGTTTGAAATATTTTCATTCAATTACTGGAAACGACGTATTAAACCCTTGTTCATCGAATTTGAAGACGATCAAAAATTTCTTACCATCAATCAAATTGAGAAGTATCATCACAATGGCACTCAAGCCTCGCTTAGATCCGTACACACGACTTACCTCGCGGTTCTATGAGGTCCTTTTATTGCTTTCAACCCTCCGCCCTGTCAACGGTCCTCATATCATCACCAAACTAGACACGGGCACTCTGCAGGGGGCTCGACGACGGTTCCTTCGGAATCTTTGCGTTCTCTGCGACTACCAGAAGGGTGGCGACAGCACGACCTCCATTGGCGCTGAAGACCGAGATGACACATACGTGCTCTGGGTCTCCTCCAACGAAGGTCCTGGGGACAACGTTATCAACTTTATTATCACTGTTCTTGAAGACTTGCGACGTGTTGTGTTCGGAGGCGAAGAGCAGAATGTGGTCGCAGAGGAACTGTTGCATCGGACTATTCGGTTCGTTTCGCCGCGACTGAGGAAGGAGAAGAGCTTTCTACGGAGGACATCCCGATCTTGCGCCGAAATTGTCGAAGGTGATGATCCACAACACAGCAAGCTGGGACAGTGTACCAGCTGGCCTAGTCCCCTCGAAGTAAGTTACTGACCAGGGACAGATACCGGCCTCATATTATGGCTTCGCCAATTCCAACCCACCAACCTGGATGATCTAGCGATATGCAGACTGGCGTATGAACATCGCCATGACCAAGAGATGAACCTAATGATGCAATATGGCCAAGAGGAGGAGGAGTCTGGTACTCAGCTCCCAATGGCACGACCATTCAGTTACTTCAGGCACATGATCGGTAGACTGGCCCACCGCGTCCGTGTGGTCGGCGAACTCTTCCAGGACGCCCGCCGCTTACCAGCATTGCTACGAGACTCCCGTGTTGAGAGAGTCCAGCCGCCAATGAGCGCTACAGTGCCAATGGCGGATGGGCATACAACTTTGCAAGGCATCTTGCGTCGCTTGCTACCGGCCAGAGATCAGCGCTATGGACCTTATCTAGACTTTCTCAAGTTCATCGACCAACATGTCAACATTGAAGCTGGCATCATCGAAAGACTGGAAGATTCCACATTCACGCCTTGTGTTCACGCAGAGGTCCAGATGCTGCATCATTTTGACAAGGGGAACCGCAACTTTGTCGCCAATGACAAATACATCGCCTGCAGTAAGCCAGCTTGTATATGCTGCGAGCTGTACTTCCGCCATCACCCGCTGCGAGTCACCTTGATTGACGCTCATCAGAAGGCGTATCCAAAATGGGGTCTCATTGGTCTGACCCAAGGCGCTCAGAGTGCCGACTGGATATCTCAACGGAATATCCTCATCGACGTGATTCAGGACCTGAAGCCCATAGTCCTGGATCAAATATCACAGCTTCAGGTCTCTAGCCTCCACCACCCGGACTCTGTATCTCAAATCACGGAGTCGCTTGCCGATGACGTCGACTTGGCAGAGTTATCAGATGTGGATTCTGAACAGACCTTCGATACTGAGCCGGAATCTATCGCAGATACTGCCGGTGTCCTCAGCAACGAAGCCGGAACAGCGGCTAACTGTAAGCGCCCTTTGTATCTTCGAATATGGCCCATGGAGCTGACACGAGAAGTCACCACCTTTCATCCCGCCGATATCGCCGCCTTCGAATCAATTTTCTTGGACAATGACGATGATGCAGACTTTGACAGTGACGATGGAGTCAAATTGTGAACGCTCGTGGCAATTTGCGTGTTATTTAACGAGAGTGAGTGTTCTTTTATTTGGGTACCCCTAGCTATTCATTCTTGTTCTGGTTTTGGTCAAATCTTCTGTTTCAACGAATGAACAACTTGTTCTTGTCTACCAGATCGGCAGGACGTCGGTCAAGGAATGAAGAGAAATCCAGCTGTAAATCCTCGCAGAGCAGACAAACGACCCCAGTGGTCACCAAAAACAATTCAAAATAAAAAACCGGTTCACTCAATTCTCAACCTGTTTTGTTCTCTTTCTTACGTGTCTTTCGAGATTGTCAAGTCGCGTAAAGTGCACACCACAGTTACAATAGAACCGATAACGAACAAAGTGAACGTCAAGATGTTTCAGCATCTCCCTGGGCTCAGCAGCACGGTGACCGCATAGCAAGCACTCGAGAGGCTTGAAATGAGTTTTGTAATGCTTCCTGGACGACGCGTGAGAAGATTTCACTTGTGGTGGCCTTGGAAATAGAGAGAAACGTACTGTCTGAGGCTTGGGATGCGGAACCAGCGGTTGCAGGCTCTTGGGGGGCCCGACCAAGGGCAGCAATAAACGCCATTCCTTATTCCATCATCACTACTCATCTTTTCCATTCTGTGAGTTTTATATAATGGCTGCGCAGGAGCATCCTTTTCAACGGGAAATAAAGTCGAGGTCGGAGTTTGAAGGTTGATAGTGCAACAATGTTCGTGCGGCGCCGTGGACCGGGAACCAACCCGTGAACAGCGGGAGTTGTGTAGCGCTTGACGCTGCTGGTGAGTGTGGGAAGCATGATCCAAGTTTGAGGGAGGCGATGAACCCGAGGCGCTAGACGATTGCCCGCTCTAAGGAGACGTATGGACATCGTTGCGACCATGAGAAATCACATCACAAGATAAATTGGCCATGAACCCATACTCGAGCTCTTGTTCAAGCGCGCCCTCCCAGTCAAACGGAGAAGTGACAGGCGATAAACTTGATTCCAATGGCTCCAATGGATAGAGAGAGGTAGAATCCTCACCAAAAGGCCCAACGATCGGTGGCTGCTCGAACGTCCCTGGCGACGACAGTGACTGTTCGTCACTTTGAGAGGCCCCGCCGAGAACTAGATGATCATTGTTGCAGGTCATAACACGACAATCAAGACGAACAAACATAAATGTCCCAATGACCTAACAAGTTGTGAAGCGACAGTCTTCAAAATCATCCATCACAGACATGTTGCAACAAACCCTGTCGAGAGTCGTGCCTTGACAAGGGCATTTATGGTCTGTGAGCTGTGTCACATGATTATCTTTCTTCCATAGTTCCGTAGTTACGACATGAATGTGCTTATGCCTGTGTTTCCTAAAGGGATGTTGGGAGCCAATGTTACCTTCTGCTATCGGCAAAACAACCCGCCAATTCTAAATTCCCGGAGCCAGAGAAACCCCATTGTAGGCCGAAGATATGATTCGACGGCAATCACTGCAAGTTCGCCTTTAATTCATCGTGGGGTTCTTTGTTTCGTCATCATGATGCAGATTCATAAAGCCTGTTTTTATCAAAATTTCACACGGGGGATGTTGGGTGTGTAGCTCAGCCAGTAGTATCAAGCGCAGCATGTAAAGACGAATGCAATGTTTAAAACTGATTCATCATCGTTCTGGATCAGAGGGTCGCCTTAAGTTCAAATAGCAAAGGTTCGCCAGTAAGGTTCCGACGGCAGGTACCCAGGTACCCATTACGGGCCGAAGTCCGCGTTCGGCTTCTTGACCTGGGGTAAATGAGGGGATCTTTTCCATTAGACGACCATCGCAGCTGGAGGGTCTGCAGCAGCACCATGTGTTCAAACTCTCAGTGCAACGTTCAGTGTAATGGGAATTGGTTGCATTGTGCTAAACGTCTGATATGCCTACCGCTGTCTAAGGGTGCATGGATGGTTCAGGGTCAGGTCGAATGCTAACCCCTTCCTCAAAATGTATCTTCTCAACGAAGGAGACTCTCGCGCAAACCGCCCAGAGACTTTTGGTCGCGTTTACTACCCAGGAAAATAAAATTTTCGTCACCCAACACGCCCACTGTGAAGTGGATGCTTGGTTCTGAAGCCGTTGTGTCTTGAAACCACCCAAGCCGAAATTTGAGGTCATTCATTTTGTGCTGGACCTCAGAAGTTGGGGCCGTCTCGGCGATGTGAATTTTCTCGTACGCATTGGATTCACGTAACAAACTGTAAGTAGCCTCGAGACTACCCATGTCTTCGGGTGCAAGGCCCTTCACATCCATCTCCAGAAGCCAGTCCGTTTGATGGATGTCATAGTAGCGCATGATAGCCGAAAATAAACCCCAAATATTGAAAAAGCAAACTGCTGCGAGTATCGCAATGATAAGACGGGTGGTTGTAGAGTTTTGAACAAGACGGTTCCGAGCCCTGAGACCGATGGTGGCATTAAATTTGGGCAGGTCCCATGGTGTATCTGGATTGTTTCTTTGGTCCATTCTGTTTTCCACGTTTGCGAGCTGCGCAGTGAGAATGGCGAGATTCTGGCGAAGACGTTGCAAAATCTGTTCCTCTTGATTAGGGTCTCTCAGAGCTGCCAGATTAAAAACCCCATAAGGTCGCGCCAAGACTGCGACTTGATCGTCTAGCCCGCGCGCCCATGGCTCAGTAATGGCAACCGGAGGGAAAGCATTCGCGTCGGAATCAGGGATGGGCCTCAGCTCTGAATCCAAGTCCTGTGCTTCGGGTATGCTGAATGATGGGTCCCAAGGCTTTCTTGCTGAGAAGTCGGCCTTTGGGGATTGTTTGGGATCAACTACCCACCCCCCTTCCAGCTTTGTGATGTTTGCGGTTGTCCACACTTCAGACCATGAATATTCACACCTCCAAGCTGCTGGTGGGGTGAATGCACGATCACCCCAGAAGTATGCTCCCCAAAAATAATCCTCATGTCTTGAAGTCAGTGAATTAGTGGTATTGAGGTCGCATTGCAAGTTTATGATTTTCTGATCCGTTGACGAGATGATATGGCCACCGTAATACGAAAATTATCTTCGTCCGGGGACTCGCGCACTTCGAAGGTTATATTGTGAACAAAAGTAGTGCCATCGGGGCAAATCAATGGTTGGCTTAGAACTGCGTTGTAAAAGCCGGTCCTTTCTTTTCCGTCTTTATCGATAAGAATTTCGATGTCCAAACTGTATTCGGACATGGATAGTCTGGTGCAGTTGGAATGTAACTGCGCTGCTGGTATGGTGGTTTCTACTGATATGATCGCAGTTGTTTCTATATTTCCAATGCTTTCCAACGTTGGGAAGATGAGATCATTATAGGTATTGTGCGGATATGTCAGGTTAACCTCGTTTTGGCGCATGACTAAACTCCGAAATTTTCTCCGCAAGGCGATTTCTTCAGCAGACTCATTGAATGACGATGGACCGAGCTGTGTTGTTTGTCCAAGTTGCACGGACTGAGCGCTTGGGGGGACTTCAGCTGTTGTAAAAAGAGTAGACGCTAGCGTCGGCAGGAATGCGCAGGCGATTGCGAGGAGTTGAGAAATGGTAACGGTGCAGCTGTTCAGATGCCTCCATGACTGGAACAACACTCTCATCCCCATCATATCCAAAAACGATATGTCGAGCTTCCGGATGCCACGGTCCGTCGACGACAATTCCCAAAGGGTACAACGCGCCCTGAACTCCATGGTACAACATGTTACGTAAAGAGAAATACCGAGCATAGTCAAGGCCGGGACGGTTGTCCACAAGAGGTGAGCATAACTTCCCGGGGATGAGCCTACCATGGCAAGCCCACCAGCCGTATCCGATCGCGATTGCAAAAGAACAAGACAGCCGGCGACTCCGACGACAAATAATGTGAACGTTGCTCGCACTCGGGTTCGTAGGACTACAGGCAAGAACACATTGTTCCCCCAGTTTCGTAATCCCTGACTCAGTCTCAGTGTCATGTGTGGAGGAATTCGATGGTAGTGAAGATGGATAATGCTCCCAAGGATAGTCGCCGGATCCCGATGCCAAAGTTCTCTGCGCTTTCCATGACCATAGTAGTAAAGCGTTGTACATGCAGCGCAAGCCATTACTCCGAATAGTGCCGCCATGGAGAAGCCAACCCGTTGACTGATTCTGAGCCTGTGGGAGGTCAGAATCACTTTGCCCACTATTTCCTTGGTCTCGTTCCGTCTGAGGACATAGTGCCCCAAAAGCGGACTCATATTCGAAAACACCGTCTTTGTTGAGTTAAGCAGAACGTTGTTGTCGTAGATGCTAGGGTTCATCGTGTCCGAGTTCTTGCCTCGTGTGGGGTCCACCGCCACTGGCCCAGAAATAGAGCGTTGTGAGCGACTGGCTTCAAATTGGGTCCATGTAGGGAATGACTTCTCAATCATGCTCCAAATATCCACGAGGATTGGCGTTTTCGTCTGACTCTGTAGCAAGGTTATGTTAGGCCGGGAACCGTCGTCAGTCACCTCAACTCTGGAGAGCCACATTGAAGGCGAACAGATGATCGCGGCAGCCGTTTGGACTTGTTTAAAAGGGAAGTCAACTCCCTCTCTGCGTTGCTCGCCGAGCAATGCCGCCAGGTATAGAAATTGCTGATTACCATGCGGAAACTCCGAGCAAGATTGCTCTGGTGGGAGACGGTACAGTTGCCAGAAGCTCGGTACTTTCTCTCTAGCGGGGCTCCAATGCATGTCCAAACTAATACCTCTGTCGCACCCCTGGAAATGAAGTGTGAGATTATACCAAAATTGGGATCCCTGCGTTTTATCGTGGTCGTAACGGGAGATTGCCGAATAGTTGTCCAACTTAACGCATGAAAGATCTGCAAACAGACCATCCACATTGGCTATCGCAAGAGCATCCACGGTGCCCCGAGAACTTCCATTGCCACTGTCGGATAGTTTAAAGGTTTGATAAGCCATGCTCTCGCTTACTCCCAACGGATAAAGCATGTTGAAATCGCGTATTGCCTGACCTATATAGTGGGCACTGATCTCCTCGGAAAGTGGTTCATCATTCGTTGATTCGTAAGCGTTGCTGAAAGAATCTAGCACCGTCATTTTCGTGGGACGCTCAAAGTGGACTGTGGTCTGACTGAATAGACTGGCAGGAAGTGCGATTTGGGCTTTGAGAAGCTGTCCTATTGCGGCAGTGAGGTATATCATGTGGTGTCTCCGACGAACTGATTGAACGAGAACCATAGGTGATGACATGGAGATGTAGTCAACCGTATGCAAATCCATGCCATTTCTTGTCGGTCGATGACGGGATTGCAACATGATCCACGGCAAGTACCGCATGGCCTGAAGTTCAACCCTACCCCAACAGGCGGATATCAGAGTCAAGACTGCATCACACATTACTGTTTATTCTCTCAAAGGCGTTAAAGAGTATGGTCTCCTACGATTCTTACCTGCTGTTGGACCAAACTGCCAAACGTATGCAAAGCTCCGTCGAACTGTCCCTACCCCTTGCTCATTTTCGGAATACGATAGAGTGAAGGATATTGCGACCGCCATACAAAGATAAAGACAAGTAAAGGCCGCGAGGACTTCGATTCGTAACCACTTGGGACGCCAGTTCATCTTTGAGATTGCACTGCGTTTGTCTTTGTGCATCGATAAGCTCCTTCTTCCATCGGCTGCGAAAGCGATGTCGTCAAAGGCTCCCGAATACATCGCTAAATTCGGCCTGGTGGTGTCTTTAGTGCCGATCTCAGATTTATTGTCAATGCATGTTTTGTCGTTGTTCTTGCTGCCGCGGTTGGAGATAGAGGTAGGCTTGTCGGTATCAATCAGCCAGGCTTCCTTGGACGCAGCAAGGCCCATCAATTCTTGACGGCAGCTGTCTGTACATGCCAGCACCGATTGACCGTCCGCTCCATGAGATGTGAACTGAGTTGACATTTCGAATGTGATATAATTGTTTGACGAGAAGGTGCAAATATTCTGTGATCCAGGATTGTGGTATGGGGTTACAATCAAAAGTAGCACGCAGTGTTCTAAGTGGTGAACCCGGGCGCTTAAATAGACAGGTCATTTTATTCAAATATCTTTCCGTCTTGGAAGTCTGCCCTCGTAACATGTCCGTCACGACTCTCCAAGATAAGTGATGATGGTCGTTTTCCAGTTTTCACCTCTTTACCGGGCACCCTCTCGGCGACACGCATATGCGTGTAAGAGTTGTACCACCACATTTCATTTCCACTTTACCAGCAGGCAGCCTATGAAATGTCGTATTTACGACAATGTGATAAGTGCTGTCCTAATCTGGGACTCTTGGCACAGCCTTTTTCACCCCCTTAGAGCAGGCTGGGTCTTGGCCATAGCCAGAAGGGCGTCGCCGTATATCTTGGCGTGAAATCAGGCTGCATATATGTCGGCGCTCCTTCAGAACAGTTGGTACGCTGCTTTTACGTGCACGCAGGTCAGACTTATTCAAAAACGAGGAGGAAAGCCCTAGCGTGCTGACCCCGTGACATTCGAGCGAGGAGTGGTAGACACTGGTGCCACTGGTAACGCCGAGGGCCAACCCTCGACCTTCTTTTTCCTAGAATCTACATATTGCTTTGATTCCACCTTAGAAATTCAACGAATGGCACCTCAACTGCTTACGGTTGAATTATTCGTATGCGATCTGTTGATCGGCACGGCTTTACACCGTGCTGGCTTTAGGTCTTCCAGGCAAACAATGTGTCTTGTCCTCCGTCTTATTCCATTCCTAGTCCTCGTCGTGAAGGCTACCACCTCCAAAGTTCACAGGCAGAGCGGGGACTGTGACCAATGTTACTACGCAAAAGGCGCCTTTGCCCCTCCAGAGCTTCTTCCGTGTCTTAATGAGACTGATTCAGAAGCACCTGAGGCCAGTTGGTGCTGCTTTGCTGGTCATGTATGCCTTGAACGTCAGGCCTGCTGGGACCCAGACACAACGAACACATATCAGTACGGCTGTAATGATCCCGAATACGAGCATGAGAGCTGCCCTCCCAAAGGTGGTCTTAACATGAGTTAGTTACCCTTCCTCAACCTATGGCTTATGGCATTCTGATACCTAACACTGGACAGCAAAGTCGCCCTGGGTCAGTCTTGTCGCGTGCGGCCCCGAATCGGATGAGGATGCTTTCTGGGCCTGCAATCATCCAGACACCTGTAGCGAAGATAGGTGCCCACTCGACCCGCGAAACTTCTCATCCACACTTTCCCTTTGGCCTTGGACGATGATACCCTTACCTCGACTTGTCGATAATTGCGAAGATATGGCAACCCTAGTGCTGGCTGCCTTCGCGCCATTGCCGATGGCCACGAGGGGTGGTGTACCTGCGAATGCCACCAACATAGAAGCAAAGCCAATACCAACAAGGCTGCCAGTGAAGACGACAGTCTCAATACCCACTTCGGTCAATATGTGGGCATCGAACACCGGCTTGCCACCCAATCAACCAGTCAAGACTGATGGAACGGAGGATGCGGGATGGAGCGCTGGTGCTATCGCAGGAACAGTGGTCGGCGCGGTTTTGAGTGCAATTGCCATTGTCGCAGGCACTTTTCTCTTGCGGCGACGACAACAACGACAGTATGGACTGCGGTCCGACACGACGCAGACCTCTCGGTTAATTGAAGACTCCGGGGCTCTAGAGCTAATGCCATTTGACGGTAAACGACGCCCACCAGATTCAATGACATCCATGGAAGCGTAAGATAGAGTCGAGATGTAGTGGCCAATTTCACACCTGAGGATCTCTATTAAGCAGCTGCAAGTCGTATTCAAGCCCAACAGAACAGCTCAAAAGGGATTTTCACCGTGCAGGCTATCTGCCCTTTCATTCCACTCCTACATGTACCGGGGTTTGCATGAGCGGGAAACACTTAGCCCGTAATAGATGATGTCAAAGATTTGTTTCATCTTCTGTCCTACAGCCAGTGAGCTCCAGGGCATTCATTGCTCTGCTGAAGAACTGACAGCACTGCCTAAGACTTGAGCCAACTCCACGTCTTCCTCACGGGCTGTCATTGGGCAGGTCTCACATCAGGGAGTCATCGCTGTCGGAGGCCGACCATTGTAAGACACAGTGCACCCATCCCGTCTTGGTGTTCAAGCTTTACCCCAACGCCTGCTTCAAAGAATTCTGGAGTATAAAGTCTCATCTCGTACCTTCTTTCTTCTTATCATTTTCTTGATGATCTCCAACTTCAAAATCAGGATTCACAAGTGCATATCCTTTTCTAGTTTACAATGGCAGGCCCCTACAGCTTCTCGGAATACCAGCAGGTCTATGTCGCCTGCCGCTCTATTTTTCAAGGTCGAAACGCCAAGATACGGAGGTTGAGTAAGATCAAGAGCGTATTCAAGGTGAAGGCAGAGGTTGTGGAATCTGTCGTGGAAGAGATGGGCGAGGAAAAAGTCGCCAATGTCGCCCTTGATCTACTGAGGGAGAAGGTCTTCAAGTATGAGACAAAAGCTCGCGCCAGATTTCCGGCAGCTTTCCAAATCGAAACGGGAACGCGGAATAGCATCAATGGGCTGGAGGCTGAAAGGGCTACCTCACACACGGCTGAGCCCCAGGACGACATCTTTTCCTCCGAAGACGACATCCATGTCATAAGGACGCCAGATTGGGACTCTGAAAGCGACTTGGATAATACAAAGTGTCAAAACGAGGCCGACAGAAGTAAGAGCGCATTCCCGAATATGGTATTCCCAGTGACTGTCAAGTACTAACGAGGAGAGCTTTCAATCGTGGCCAATCCCCAACGGCACAGGTTTCGACAAGCGTAGAGTCGATCCATACCTCACCGCATTCAGCATCAACTTTGTGCAACACGCAGCGTCGGATACTCATGAATGTTCAGGTGGTCCTGAATGAGAGCTGCTTTGACTTCATGAGCACGTGGATACCGAAAATGCTTCATGATCTCCAAGCCTCCACGTGCGACTCGGCAAGTGGCTTCCGTTCGTCCGCCGTTGGCTCCGGAGGGCCTTGTTATCAGCTTCCTATCAACGCAATGACCTTTATTTCCAGAGAGGCAACAGTTGATGCATTCAAATCGGCAAGGTTTCTGCAACAAGCCTACAGTCAGAGCAGCCAAATGCCATGGCGGGAGATCAGCGAGATGCTGAACCAAGCCGTCATAGTGGCCGAAGGTCTTCGCAACAATGTCGGCGCTTGTAAGATCCGAGAGCTCAGAGTGGAGATTGATAGGCAAGTCGCAATCAGGCAAGCCGCCAAGACCGCCCTTGAAGATCACGCCGCTACGGAAATGGACGACATTCGCCGTCAACGGGAAGAGCTTGACAAGAGAGAACAAGCCTTGATCGGCGATATGGCCAAGAAAGAAAGCAAACAGAAAGCGTTGCTTAGTGGCTCGATTGACAGGTTTTTGGACAGTAGATTTGGGAAAAGCGCAGAACAACTCGGGCCTCAAACAGAAAGAGGAGAGGCTACTGAAAAGTCTACTGAGGAGGCGACTGAAGATTACACCCAAGTGTCCAAGGAAGAGTCTGCCGAACAGTCTGCTGACGACATGGAATTTGATTTATTTGATTGAGAGAAAGTCAACTTTCTTCACGAAAGCTACTTTCATAGAGTCCGCAACAGGCGCGTGAGACTTACCCAGATTGACGTGTTTTGTTCTTATGCGGGCTCAACAAACGTCGGGATTGATAAGACTGAGATCCAAATTGAATTTCTTTTAGTCTAAGCGCTTCAAAATGCAAGTGACTCTAAGAAGTCTTTAGCTGTGGCTGGATCTAGTAACTGAGCCCTGCGGGCAAAGCATTACTTGGTCATTTATACGTAAACATAGCAAAACGGCCCATTCATCGTATCTAATAAGTCGCCAAGTTTCATCTTTGCTGCATTAACAGATAGATTAATATTATCAGTAAGTGTGCTATTTAGTGCTGTAGGATTTTTTGTTGTTATTATTATTATTATTATTCTATTTAACGACGTTAGAGCTAAGCTTAGATTGCTCCTTAAGGTATATATTATATAAAGTAAGCCTATATATCTATAAATCTACTATATATTATTCCTACTCCTTAAATTAAGCGTTATTTAGTTAATTACTTCCTATATATAGTGTTTCTAAGCTTAAAAGCTACTTTTTACTACTAAAAAATAGTATAAATATCCCCTATTTTTAGCTTATATCGCTTAACTAAAGCTAATACTATAGAGGTTTAAGCTTTATTATACTAAAGCTAATATTATTATAAAATCTAAATAAGAAACCCCTAATTAGTAGCTAAAGCTAAAGCTTAAGCTACTTATAAGCTCTTAAAGAAGTAAAATTACTTATAACTTACTATATTTTATTAAGAAAACTAAGATTTTCTTAGAAAAGTTAGTAAATTAATTTTTATATTTTTCTATAGTAATTTAAATTATTTAAGCTAAAAAATTAAAGTAAAATAAAGTATAATAGAGTTTAAGAAGGTTATTAGCTATAAGGTTTATATAAATAGATTATTTAGTAGTTTTAACTACTAAAGAAACTTATAATTTCTTTAAACTTCTTAAATTACTTTAGATTACTAATTATAGATCTCTAATAGTACTTAAGGTCTCTAAATAGAGATAGTTTTAGCTTACTATTAATTAGTAGCTAAAGCTACTAAAATCTCTTTAAGTAAGTTAAATAATAGAATATTATATATATAGGGGATTTCTACTTTTTATATTTATATCTTTAAACGTCTTATTACTTCTAAGTAAAACGCTTATAGTATATCTTAAAATTATTATACTTTAAATAAGTAATAATTAAGTAGTATAAAAGTTTTTATAAAAGCTTTAGCTCTAAAAAATATTAAAATACTAGCTAAAAGTTATTATAAGTATAATATTAAAGTCTTTTACTTATATACTACTATTCCTAATAATATTTAGTGATTTTCTTCTATATTAAATACTTTATAGTAGCTATAATAGCTAATAAAATAAAATTAAGAAAAGCTATTAAAGCTCCTTATTTTATAAATATATCTACTAACTTATTTCTAAGAATATCTTTATAACTAAGAACTTAATATATAAAAATAAGAGAGGTTATTAAAGTAATATATTCTTTAGCTTAAAGAATAATTACTTATAAAGATAAAGGTATATTATTATATCCCTCTAAAATATTAATAATATTAAAGTTATTAATATAAATATAAATTATACCTATTAAACTCTATAAGTATATAGCTATATAAAACCTAAAGTTTATAGCTTTAGCTTTAATATTAAAGATTTTAGTAAAGCTAAAGTACTAAAAGCTTTATATAAGAAGTATTTTAGCTTTCTTCTTTTCTTCTTTTTTACTTAAGAATATAATATAGCTATAACTAACTTCCCTAAACTTAAGTTTAAATCTATTAGTATAAGTAATAATATTATTTTTAAGTATATCTTTAAGCTAAGTTTTAAATTTAATAGTAGCTATTTTCTTTAGAAAGTAAGAAAAGCTTAAAAGCTATAAGAATATTAGAATTAAGTAAGAGTAATAAGAAAGTATTATAATAATATATTATAGTTATATAAGCTTATAATAGGAGTCTAATAAGTAGATATAAAAGCGCTAAACTAATAAGTAATAAAAGTTAAAACGCTTAAATCTTATAGTAAAGTAAAGCTAATAGGCTTTAAGTATAATATTTATAGGGGGGATTTTAGATTTATAGTATAATATAGTAATAAGAGTAATATACTATATAAATAGAACTCCCTAAATATTAATATAAATTACTCTATTAATAAGCTAGAAATACCCTTTTTAATTTATAAAGTAGAATAGTTTAATTAAAATAGTGCTAAAGTACTACTAAGTAAGGATATAATTAGGTTTCTAAAAGCTAAGAAACTAAGTTTTTATACTATAAGTAGTAATAAAAATAATAATTAAAGAGATAGCTTTATATATAAGAATAAGAGGGAAACCTCTATATATTACTTTAAAGTTATAGAAGAATTTAGTATACTTTAGAGTAGTATTAGCTTAAATCTAAATATATAGTATAAAAGTAAACCTATAGTTAAAAGTAACCTTAAGCTACTTTATAGTGTTTTTAAGTGTTATTATTAAGCTATTAGCTTTAATTAAGAGATTTATTAGCTTATATTTTTGCGAAATATAGATAGTTTTACTTTTTTTTAGCTTAAAGAAGACCTTATTTTTAGTATTTTAGTATAAAATATAAGTAATATTAGTTATAAGTAGCTTAGCGTTTTCTTCTATAGAAAGGAACTTAATCTATATTAGGATATTATTAGTATACTTAAAGTAAAAGTTAAGGTTTTATAATAGAAGTTCTATAAAATAAAGTAAATATAAAATAAGGGAAGTAGAGAAGCTTTAAAGAAGCTTATAGTAAAAAGGAAAAGGTTCTAAAATAATACCTTTAATATAAATTTAAGCTTAATATCTAGTTATAAATAACTTAATATAATAGATAAAAAGTTCTAACTATCCTTACTTCTATAATCTAATAAAGAAGTAGTTATAGAGGATAGTATTAAAAGTACCCTTAGTATTAAGTATAGTAAAAGAAGTAACTAAACTAGTTTTAAGAGTAGCTTTAATTTTATAAGTTATATAAGTAGTGAAATTAACTATATTACGCCTAAAGAGGGCTTTAAAGTATTAAGTACTAATAATTTAAACTAGTAATACTATATAAGTAATATACTAAGTAAATAAGCGCTTAAAGCCTTTTCTAAAGTAAAAAAATAAAGATATAAAATAATATAAAGTAACTTTAGTTAGAGGTTTCCTCCCTTTAGGTATAAAGACTACTTTAGCCTTTTTAAAAATCTCTAAGTAATACTTAGAGGTTAAATAGGCTTAAAAGAGAGCTTAAATAAACTTAGCTATAGCTAACTAAGTAGCTTAAAATATATAAATAGTAATACTATTAACTCTAAGTATAATACTTATTATAAGTATTATAGTAGCTACTTAAGTAGAGGAAATAGAGGTATTTTATAGGATATTAAAGTGAGGGGGGATATAAACGCTATTTAGGTCCTAAATATTATCTATAACTAAGAAATATTTAAGTAAAGCCTTTTTAAAAACTTATACTTTTATAGTAAGAAACTTAATTACTTTATCCTTAATTTTTAGAAGTAGTAAGTAGAAGTTAAGCTTTACTTAGTACTATTTTATTATATAATAAAGATTAAAGATATTTACTATATAGTCTATTTTATTATAATATTAAGCTATCTTATAAATATAAATAACTTATTAAAGTTCTATATTAGTAAGCTTTTCCTCTTTATAGAGAGGGTAAGAGAAGTATAAGTATAACTTATAGTTTAAAGATTAAGTATATTAAGCTTTATATAATTTTTATTTAGTATTTTAGCACTTAAGTAACTATTAAGCTAAAATAGCTAAGCTTAAAATATACTAAAGTAAGTAAGTTATAATATCTATTACTTAAGAAAAGTAGAAGAGAATAAATTTAGTAATAATATTATATTATATTAGTATTAAGTTTAAAGTAATAATAGAAAGAGAGTTCTATTTATAGAGAGTAATAAATCACTTAAGTTTGCTATTTAGTACCTATATTTAAGCTAAAAAGCTTAATTCTAAAGCTAAAAGGATAGAGATATAAGCTAGAATAACTTTATAATTTACTTTAAAGTAAAAAGTAGGATTTATCTCTACTAAAATAAGTAGAATATTAAACTAAGATAGATCTATAGTGTAGTTAGTATTATATATTAGTACTTTAAGTTTATTTAGAAAAAAAAGACTATTTTAGTTTATTTAAGTTTTAATTTTTAAGCTACTATTAATAATTCTCATACTAAAAACCTAAGAGGGGTTTATAATATTCTAATTACTATTAGTAAAGAAATAAAGAAAGATAAAGTATTAAAAAATATAAGTAGTAGTATTATTATTTACTATATTAAATCTATATATATTTAAAATAATTACACTTTAAATCTATACCTAAATAAGGTTATAAGTTTTATAAAGCTAGGTCTAAATAGCTTTTAAGCTTTTCTTAATATATATAATTACTTAAGGAATAATATTTAAATTATAATATCTTTAAGTATTAATAAAGTAAAATACTTTATAGAAGGAGTAATTTATAAGAAATATCTTTCCTTTCTTTTTATTAGTATAAGGTTCTTATACTAAAACTATATTAATATACTTCTTAATATAGCTCTATAGTAGTATATAGTTTATAAGGTTATTATACTTAATATTATACTATATAATATATAGACCTCTAGTATAATATTTCTAAGCTTACTTAAAGTGAAGTATTATCCTTAAAAGGGGGGATTTACTATATATTATTATAATAACTTAGTTCCTTAATATATAAAGTAATATTATAACTAAAGCTATAAAGGGAGTAAAAAATAAAAGCCTATAGAGTTATAAGCTTCTTAAGTTTAAAGAGGTTAAATTAAAGTAAACTACTATTTTTTAAGCTTTCCTTAAAAGCTTCTTACTTTATATCTTTTTAGTATATTATAATATAAATAATACTATTAGACTTAATAGTATAAGCTTATTTTTAATAGAAATAAGAAGTAAGAAAAGTATTTAATATCTCTATTTTAGTATCTTTAAGCTTAAAGTTCTCTAAAGAGGAGTTTAAGATAAAGAAGTTATTTTCTATAGTAGTTTAAGTAGTATTAGCTATTTTATAATTAGATAGAGCTATACTATTAGTAATAATTATTAATTAAGCTATTTTAAGCTAAGCTAAAGAAGTAAGAGTAGCTAAAAATAAGCTATAAAAGGAGCTATTAAGCCTAAATATAAATAATATATTATATATAACTTATTAGATTTTCTAAAACTAATACTTAAAAAGTATAACTTAAATACTATCTTTTAAAGTAAAGTAAGTAGTATAGTTACTATAGTTTATAAAGAAAGTACTATAATAATTTAAGTATTTAGGGTTATTTAAGTAAATTAAAGTTATATTAATACTAATATAATTAGTTTAGCTATATTAGCTATAGTAATAAGATCTAATATAGAAATAACTAATATAATATTTTTAATACCTATTAGAGTAAAGTATAAATACTTATTTCTTCTCTAGTAGAAAGTAAGTATAAATAGATTTATAGAAAAAGTGCTATTTAGTACTTTTATAAGGTTAAAGTAGTATAATAATCTAAGACTAAGTTTAAATAGTAAAGTTTATACCTTTCTATATTAAGTAAGTTTATATTAAGTATAGCTTTATATATTTATAAATATTAGTTTTAACTATTTCTTTAGTAACTATAATAGTAAGGTTATCTAAATACCTAGAGATTTCTATAAATATATAGTTAATAAAGTATTTATATTATTTTTAGGGGAAGTTAAAGGATTAAATACTTATAGCTTTATAAATCTCTTTTACTTACTTAAAAAAGGCTTTTTTTATAAAAGTAGAGTATAGAATAATAGTATAGCTTAAAGTAGTATATAAAATATAAGTAATATCTACTAATAAGAGGTTTAAAGCTTTAATAATTTTATTCTAGAGAGTATATAATAAAGCTTTATAAGTTTATACTAAGATTTTAGAAGCTTATAAAAGTAGATAGTAATCTATAATAAGCTTTAGTAAGATATAAAACTTCTAAATACTATATAACTAAGCTAAGTTAGTTACTATATTCTATTTAGTAAAGAGTATCTTAGAGGGAGACTTAATATTATTTTAACTTTAAAAAGAGGATTTTATAGCTATATTACTCTATAAGAGCCTAAGAATAACTATTTACTAAATATAAGTAATAAATTTCTATATAATACTACTAAACGCTTTTTATAGTTATCCCCTATAGGTTTTTACTAGCTAGTCTAAGTATATTATAATTATTTAATAAATTTACTAATAGGTATTAAATAGATAGAATAGCTTTTATACTTTAGTAGTAATTATTATATACTTTATCTTTTTAGAGCTATTAGGAAGTAATAATTCTACTATAATAAGTATCTAAAGGTATAGATATAATAGTTTAGTAGAAGTAGGGGGAGGGGAAGGGTTCTAAACTAGCGATTTAGGCCTAAGTTAGGCGCTTATAACACCTACGCGCGGCTATAAAGCTATTATAATAGGTAATTAAGGGTGTTAATAGTGCGTTTTATATGCGTTAAGGTTCTAGTGTGGTGCGCTGCAGCCTGCTAACAGTAGGTCGCAGTAAAAAGTGTGTAGGAGGGAAGTTGTTGCGGTGCTGTAGGATCCTTGTTGTGCCGGACACTGCAGTTAGTTGAGAACCGAGATCCTGCAATTGCTAGATCCACTAGGTTCTGTTAATCATGGCGTGGTGTAGCCAAAAGGCCGGATCAGCTGGGGAGTTGAAGAAATCCTGGCGATTGAATGATTCAGCCACATTGACACTTGGAAACTGATCAGCTTGATATAGAGGAATGGGGATTGCTTACACCACCTGGATCTCCACCTATCGTGGTATGCCCTCCTCCGTGGACACCGGGGTTGCTTCTTTGCATGTCGCCCTGCATCGAAGTCTGAAACGAGTGTATGTCCTTGTTCTTGGTGATAAGATCATAAGTGTAAGTTTCTGAAGTGAATTTCGAAGATTCGGGATTAATGTCGCGTCGCAGACAGCGGGGGTTGTATCCAAGCCCGTCTTTCCGTGGATTTGGGGGAACGTCTTTGAGCCGGGACGCGACCGGCCCAAGATGTGCTTCAAAGCTTCGATAGAGGTTAGTACAATCGGCGATTCTACACACAGCCTACGAGCGTAGTACGACGTACTCTTTGAATGGACCTCCTAGTAAGCAGCCGCCACCATTGGCTGGTGGGATTGTGATATTTCCGAAGGGTATGCCATCGTGCGCAACCTTAGCACCATCGCCCGACATGCTGCTATCATTCCCATTGAAAACAGGGGAGTTCAGCGGATCTGAAGAATAGTATGGCCAGTGCTCATACTTCGCGGCATCAGTGATCTGGAGACATGGACCAGATACGATCAAATCTCACCGGCTGGTAGCCTCGGTATCCGCACTCATCTCTTAGTGCTTGCTCATACGCAAATACGTAATATCTGTGCCAAGAAAGAAATTTTGCCTAAACAATTCTTGTTAAAAGACTTCACGGCGACTAGGTAGCTCGGATTTCGTTCTTACAGTAAAGTGAATACTCAAAGTCTGCTGTATATGTGTTGCCACAAAGTCATCGTATCGGCTTCTCGTCCCAGGAACCTCGTCCATCGAATACCTTGGCGGCTTGTTTGCAAGGCGTTTGGTCGCATTAATGTAGTCCAGTCTTTCCTCGACTGCGAGAGATGACCTTTATGCCTGGATGTCAGTCTGGCAGAAGTTATCGCTAGCAACGACTGACCATTCCTTTCTCTTGATGGCTGTCTCAAGAGAGCACCCAGACGCTCGTGGAAGTCTGGCCAGATGAGACTCCAAGTTTGCTAGGCCGATATCCTGTAATCTATCGACGCTATCGCGGGCATACGGACCGGCTTCCGAATTGCCAATGACGAGAAGCACTAAGACAGGCGCAAATGAGAACATATTACTAGAAGATACACTGCTCCCCCATAGGAAACGTGCAGCGCTATGGATCTAAACAACGCCCGAGGAAAATAAAATGAGTAAATGAGGTATGCCTACTGAATGCTTTTGGGGTTGAAGGTGTGTTTCAAATTGGATTCTAGACTCATCGGCATGCGCGGAGTAGGGCGAAACTCAAGGCGGAGGTTATTCGGAGGGGCCCGAAGTTTAAAGGTTAAAGCATCCAGAAGCTTCATGGAACATGGCTCTTCATCAACGGCACATGCGTCAAAGACGCTAAAACTGAAAGATTTTTATTTGTTTTCGCAAAATTAAACTAGGCTGATAGAGAAGAGCTTGTGTGTTGTGGAAGAATCCGCCAAGGCGTATGCGTTATGTCAAACGATTGACGACGTAGGTCTGTTGTGATGAAGGGGCTAGGCAGGATGCAATGAACAACTGAGCCCGTCCGATGTCAATCCAAAGTATTTGAACATTTGCTGCCCAAGCTGCCGATAACGGCCCAACGGAAACGTCTGAACATTCTCCGCGAGAAGACAGAGCTTCCACAGAACGGCCGGAAAAGTAGATAGATGACGGTATTTTACATGACCAAACACAAGTTGATTTAGGTGTTGATAATGTTGACCGCCATTTCGCGTGTTGTTGGTCACCTTTGCAGGAGATATGGGGTGCACATGGGTCGAAAATGCAATCATTTATTCGCTGGACAGATGTTGTTTTTCTTACCAGAGTACTTGTTCATCAATGCCCCAGATTGGCTATAAGAACTCGGAGACTTTACGCGTCTTGCGAAATAAAATCATGACGGCCTCTATCGCCGCATCGCAGCCATGATCTTCGCCATGGAAATTCAACCATTGAAACAGTACCGCAGCCTTCCCCTATCGCGACCATACAGCCTGCTTTCGTCGCTTTGACTGACGCACCACTTACTAGGTGAGGTCCCCTGAGCTAGATGAGAATCGTCCCAAAGGATTTATAAATATAGTAGAATATCGGCGTAACTTTTGTCAAAAGCTTCAATTAACGCACTATTGTTTGGTGTGATCCCCGCCATTTCTTTACTCATTGTACTATAAGCAACAATGACCCTATTGAAAGTGGCAACTTGAGTGCACTTAAGTAATTATCTAAATTGATGAGTCGCAAGAGCTGTGTATTGGTCAAGACGGAATACTGACGCGGATTTCTATGTAAAGCATTGCCGCAAACTTTCGGACCGATAGCAGCAAGGTTCTCAGTCATATGCAGCCAGGTCGTCACCTATGAAATCTTAATCACGCGTGACTTCACCGATCAACCATAAAGGTGACATCAACTGAATATTTCATCCGCGACCGCCCCATCTCAGAACCTCTCGTTCCACTTCATGAAATCCGTTCCAACAGGTCAAAGCAGCTTAAGGACACAACACATCATCACCTTAACACCCGTTGTATCAGAAGTCACAATGCGCCGACGCGAGCTGGTTGCACAGTTGGAGGAACCAGAGAGGTTTGACAAGGATGTGATCCACTGCAGGAACATTTCGTCACTGGGAAACGGCGTTCTTCTCGTCCTCGGTATCACCGGTCTCATCGTCTCTTCAGTCAGCTACACCCGCGGCGTGACTAAAACATCGGTAGAGTTGGCACATTGCATTGTGGTATGTCCTAGATGGTCGATTCGGATAGCCCTGCTGACTGACGTCTTTCAAGTCTTCAGTGTTTCTGCCTCTACTTATTTTGGCAACCTATTTCATCCTGAGTCTCAAACCGGGTAAAAGCGTGCTTCTTAGGCTCGTTTACGTGGTTGTCACGATATCTCTTTACGGCATTAAGTCGTATGTCTGTCCGTAACAAACCATCAAGGCGCGCTGCTAATGATCCCAGACTGGTATTTGGTGTCCTGCTAGCGAGGGAAATTAGCCAAGACCAAGGCTGGAGCAGCCAGAAGATGAGTTTGAGGCATGGGCCGCCCATTGTCAGTCTCGTCACGGTGTATGTTTGAAAATCGAATACTCTTAGACCTGTACACTAATTGTTCGCAGGTTCGCCGCAGCGTTTGCGGTTTATCTCCTTCATGCGCTGGCATATACACTCCCTGACCAGTCGGCACCGGGTCTTCGAGGCGATCCGCAGCCCAACGTTATGCGGGCGGAGGAGAAAGGCGTTTTCAGTCAACGGGCCCAGGCCTGAACGAGTGGTATCACGTACTGGGATACATGCTATCTCCGTTGATACGTTGGAGTCTTCAGGTCCACATAGTTTACTCTCTAGATTCAATTAATGTAATGCGCTGGCTGTCCGGCTTCAGATCATTATCAGTCGTAACTGGGCAAAGCCCGCCGCGGCATCGCATAGCGACTCAGTATCAGAGTCGTCAATCAGTGGTAAGACATATCAGGAGATGGCTGAGTCTACATGCGCGCACCATCAGAAGCCCTGCTGCGGCGTAACAATCGTCGCCGACGTCGAGAGCCACGTCCGGCCCGCCACCAACAATAAGCACCACCGAAAGCCGCCCCAGAGCCACCCTCAAGGGCAACTACAGGCGGGCCAAGATGATAGCCAAGTTCGTATCCCCTTATCCAGTCGATAGCAACATGGTAGCTATGGTGTCGCGCTCCCTTTCCCGATTCTCTTCAACCGACATGTTGCCACCACCAATCACAGCCAGCATGCGAGCCATCCCGCTGCTGGCGTGTCTGGAGCTGACACGTCTGACGCCTGCCGTCCCGTCCCGTCCACCCTATCTTAATCCATTCCATTCCATTCCCAATTGTGATGTATCCATTGTGATGTGTCGGAAATAGTAGCCTGGGTCCGTCCGTCCTTCCGCCGGGATCCCCTCTTTGGCATTATCGACAACGAAGAAGGCACGAATATGCGATCGCGCCATCCCAGCCCTATCACCATCTTTCCTAAGAAGATAGATTGGAAATTATTGGCGGAATTCTTCTCGCTGTTATGGATGGGTCGGTATTCGTCGTTTACTGGCATCTTCCTTGCCAACACGTCGGTGCTTGTGGATCGTGGAGACCTGACAGCGAAGCAACCCCCGCGCGCTCCACGGGAATCACAGGATGTCCCGGAGGGAGATAAAGCTAAGATTAGCTTCTGGGTAGCGGCGGAGCTCGCGCCGGGTCTGGCGCCTGGGTACGCTTGCCGTGGGCTCCTTTCGTCCCGGCTTTGTTTTGTCGTCGGGTTAGGTGATGTCTCCATCCATGGTCTCTAGATTGTTCCTATTCTTCTTCGAGACGCTCAGAAGGATGAGGAAAGCTGTTTATCCATTCTCGACACGGTAGTTCTGGTGGTGATGTCGCGTGTTGGGGATCGCACGTCGGTGGTATTTTGTCGCCGCTACTCTGTTTGGAAGTCTGATTAGCTGTCATTCACCAAGCTTTCTTGCATCAGACTGATTGTTTCGACCTACTATGAATATTTCGAATCAACCGAGTCTCATGCAGACTGACTCTGGCGCAGGATCCCAAGAGTGCTGTTGTAGTGAGGATGGAAAAGGGGTTACCAAATGTTTATAAATACAGTGCCAGAACGTGCATGGCCTCATTTGCACTGCATTAGTACGCCCAAAATGCCTCTACACAGTGTGCAGTATCTCCTCATCTCAGAAGACGGCCATCAAGGTTAACATCAAAAGTGCTCAGTGCATAGTTCTACGAGTCCGTCATAACGTTCCATGTTGCAATTGCCACATCTATTGTCTGTTCAGGACGGTGTTCAATTCTCAACGAAAGGATTCATCTCGTTCAGTTTGGATGGAGCTGTCAATCACGAGATGCTATCGTCTTAGCCGGAGTACAGCCCGGAGAATTCCCCAATTCCCGATTGCCGCGATAATAATCAGGGAAATGTTTACTTGAACATGAATTCACAACCAGGGATCCCGTCGAAATCGCTTTCGACCATACTCTTCCAATCATCAAAACAAGGCATCCCATCACCGTCCATCAAGCCAACACGCCTCGCCAACCCCCTCCCCCGATACGTACTCCCGCACAGCCTCCGGGGCTCCGAGAACATCTCTAGCCGCATTTCACAACCCCCCATCCCCCTCCGATCTCCGCCCAGATAATCAGCTGACAGCTCGTGCCGCACTCGCCCTGCATGCCATCCAATCCCAACCTCATCCGATCCCATCCCCCAATCACGTTGTGCCTGTCTTCACACTTGTTTATCCAGGCATCTGCGCCAAGTCCCTGCAGTGTGCACAGAACAATGGAAATGGAAAAGCAAGCAGCTCCACACCAGACATGTCCGTCACCACATTCTGCATGCACAGTCTTAACCCCCAATCCCAGACAATACCTACCTCGAGTGGGGGGCTTGGAGAAGGAGGAGGAGGCGGCGGCAGCTGCATCGGGGTGCGTAAGCAGAGGTAATAGCATTCCGACCACCAGAGCTCGACAGCTCAGAGAGCAAGCTAATTACCCCCAATTTTCGGTTGGAGAGCTCACCCTCCTACCCGAGCTATCCCAAAACACACCGGTCTTGACAGGTTCCACCTCCAAACTTGGCTATTGGAGACAGCCGATGGATCCCGGGCAAGAATGGAGACTGCCCACATCAGCGGACAACACTCCATATCTCCACATCAAAAAAGTCAACATGACAAGCAAACGCATAATCAAGAAAAGTCACCATAAATCACTCATTGTCACTTACTCGCGTCACTTAAGATCATCACTGATGCGGGGGAAGAATCAATGCCCGGGAATCAAAAACACTCGTATTCAAATCCAAAAAAATACCAAACTATCATACGAGAGAAAAAAAAACGTATTCATCCCTTCAAGACAGTAAGAACCAAGCAACTACCGGTGTCTTGCCTGGGCTGCATTGCATGGCCGGTCTCCACACAAGTGAGCTCTTCTGCGGTAGAGGTCGGTCAAAACTGTAGATCCAGCATTGGGTCCCGCTTCAAAAACCAGTATCCTTCAGTCCCTCATTCCCATGAGATAACGACTTCAGTCCGTTTCGGCGGGGGGCACGCAGCTCGATGAATGTTGATGAGGTCGAGCGAGCCTCTTCATGAGGGTATCAGATGCGGCTTCGCGGAGGCGTCATGCTGAATTTAGTGCTGTGCTCATGTTAGTTGGTGATCGGGAGTGAGGTTGATGCGAGGAAGGCTTACGGAGCAAGAGCCGCAAGAGCAAGAGGTGCAGGAGCCGGCGCAGCTGGTGCCGCAAGACTTGCAAGAGCTGCATGAATCTGGTTAGCTATTTGGCAGCTCGGTGAAGAAATCTCCGAAAACTCGAATTCTTTGGAATGTGTAGCTTGTCTGAACAAGGCCGCATTTCTCGAATTCTTGTCTTCTCAGGATGTCGACTGCCACTCACCAGGGGGCCATTTTGAAAGTTGGTTGGGTTTAAGCGAAAAGCTTGAAAGTTGGTAGTTGAGTTTGTTTGGAAGTGAGATCTGAGAGCTTGTTGAGTCGATGAAGAGAAAGAAACAACATCTCGAGCCGAGAAGTCCTGGGGTTTATATACCCGTCTTCGAGCTACGTCCCCCACGTACAGTCAGCTAGAGCATCAAGCATCAGATGGTTATCTCGCGAGGAGGCGCGGTATCATTCGCCATTACGTGGAAGGGTCAAACGGGCGTGGCCGGAGGAGGGAGGGGCGGGCATCCCAAGGATTGTCGGAGGAGATACCGCGAATGCCGCGGCGCCGTTTGGAGCAACCAGCCCAGCCAGCAGTGCAGCGATGCTGACATGGCGGTTGTGTGATACCGCATCAGGCTGGCACTCCCATGGCTTGATCCATAATAGCTCATCTACTCCAAGATAGGCCGGACGTTGGGGGACCAGACGTTTGCTCTGCAGTAGCAGAAGCGGGGTTTGGGCCCGAAGCTACGGGTGCAGCCTTCGTCCAGGTGTGGTAGCCCGTGGGTTCCACGTTCGGGGCTGGGTGGACCCGGCGACGGGGGGCGTCGGGCGGTTGTGATTGGGCCATGTGAGGACGACTGGACATCCACGCGCGAGGTCCATGGCGAGCCACGGCAGGGCGGCAGGATGGGCGTGCATGAGGTGCCGTGGTCGTGTGAATGGGATGTTGGAGGCGGGCTGGCGTGGGATCGTCGCGGACTGAGTGGACGAGAAGGGCCCGATGAGGATAGCCCCGCCCTTCATCGGTCAGACGTTCGGTCTATGGATGGAGAGATTGGGGGGGTTGAAGGGAAGGGAACGTGGGAGTGGGTGGGTAGAGCCGGTCTGGAATGTGCAGATTATCGGGTGGTTTTTTTTTTTCGATGGTCTGCATTTCGGGTACCATGTTGTGAAGAACATGTGTGTGAAGAATGGTATGGGAAACTGCACTGTTGGAATAACCGACCAGTAGACTTACGAAGGCGACGGCGCGGCCTTTGCTGTCATGGTCTGGTTGGCGGTGCCGTGTGAATTGGTGGCTGCATGACAGTATGTAGGACGACAGAGAGGTAAATCTGCTTGTGATGGCGCTTGGCAGCGGCACCCGCGCGAAACAGAGTTTGTACCATCCCACACCCGACTCTTCAGGTGATGCGCCCGGCCACCCCGTATTGGCCAGACAAGGGACTAGCAATTAGGCCGAATGAGGGTCCGTTCTACTTAGGCAGACCCGGCGGCGGAAAAAGATAGAAGCCACAAGAAGTAAGAGATAGTAGCTGAAGAGCTGAAGAAAAGCAAAAGAGACAACTTGAAGCCAGATGACCTAGTCATCAAGAACAATCGTCATGGTCGAAGGCAAAAACCTCAGCTGTCGTCTTGATCGTCGACGACAACTCAGAGAGTGGTCTCACCAGTCAGACTATAGCCTCTCCGACTAAAACTTCAGCCGTGCGTGAGCGTCGTCGACTCAGTGCCATGGGGGCGACAGCAAAAGAACCTTGCCCGAAAGAAGAATCCCGGTAAAAACCTCATATCGCAGATTCTGAACGAAAATGAGAGAAAGCTGTTAGCTAAACAGCGTGGGTTGCCCAATCATACAGACTGGCCGCCGGCGACGGGGACCGCTCACGAAGGAGCAGTTTGCCCGATCAGCTGATACGTCCGGTGTCCAAGGTGAGAGGACCGACAAGGGGGAGAAGAGAGCAGGATGTGAGAAGAGGAGACAAATGAGAGATTTGTGCCGTTGTGGCTCATTACCGTGGGGGGTCGTGAGTCTTTTGCCGCAGCGCGAGAGCCGATTCCCGAGGATCAA